CTCTCTCTCTCTCTCTCTCTCTCTCTCTCTCTCTCTCTCTCTCTCTCTCTGTCTCTCTCTCTCTCTTGCACGCGAGCGTGCGCGCATGGTGACTAAGCGAAGTTCGCTAGGCTGTCTGGCGGCCAGTTGGGGGGTTATCTCCCCATCGAGTACCAAAGGCTGGTCAGGCTTTTGAATTAAAAAAAATGTGATGGATGCTCTGAATGCGGGCTTTTTTGTGTGCATGTCGGTGCTCTTTCTCGTAGGTAGTATTCCTTTTCCGTCCTTGTGTGCATGTCTGTTACAGACTCAGCCAGGGCTCAATCCCTGGTCCGCGGGTTACCACCCGCCAGGCTGCTATTTTTTTTCTTTCGAGTCCCTGATCTCCGGTTCCTGACTGTTGGCGCCCTCTGCAGCTGGCGCCCTTTCTCAAATCCCTCCTCTGGTACTGTTGGACTTTGATACTTGGTGCCATCCGGCATTCTGGCGCCCAGCCTCAGACCTTCGATTTTCAGTTTAGCCCCGAGGTGAACTGCACTTCTGCCCTCGGACTCAACTTGAGTCCGGTACTTAAAACCAGACTCAAGCTGAGTTCGGGGACTCAGTTTTCGGCCTCAGTGCTCTTGCTTCAGTGTGACTTGCTGCGGCATTGTGTATGGAACCAAGATTGCGACTTTGCGACTTTGCGACTTTGCCACTTTGTGTCTATGTCCGTCGAGTCGTGTCGAGTCCGTGTCGAGTCGAGTGAGTGTGTGTGTGTGCTCTCACTCCCTCCCTCTCTTCCCCAACCTCACTGATCTACCTCCCTCGTCACACTGGTATCGGAGCGGTCTTGCGACCCTCCCCCTCCACCACGACATCGACATTGTCATCACCATCGTCGGCGCCCCCACGTCATCGCCATTGCCGCTGTTATCGACATCGTTGCTGATGCCACGTCAGCACCTCGTCCTCGTCACCGCTGCCAAGTCACGGATTCCCGATGACGCCGTGCAGATAAGTAACGGACAATAATTTTTATTTTTTTATTTTATTTTCCTCTTCTTCTCCTCCGTCGTTATCATCGTTGTCGAAGTCCTTCTTCCTCCCCTCCGATCCTCCTCCTTCTCCCTCCGATTGTTCTCCTTCCTCCCCCGATTCTCTTCGCTCCCCCCTGCTGCCTACCCAACCCCATCTCCCCGACCCTGAATCTTCCCCCACGTGCGCACTTCTTTCCCCCTGCCACTCCGATCATCCCC